CTCTTCCTCATTCCCACACTCACTCGCACGAGACTAATCGCCGCCCAGAACCTCGCCCGAAGAAGCGTCCGCGAGAGGCGAGGCGGCGGAGCTTGCGGGTCGGGCCTCGGGCCGCGTCTTCCGCTTACGGGCGATCTGCGCGGTCTACATGCAGGCATACAGAGACATACATACATACATACATACATACATAACATACATACATACATACATACATACATACATACATACATACATACATACATACATACATACATACATACATACATATATCATATATATATATTATATATATATATATATATATATATATATATACATATATATATATATATATATATATTATATATGTGTGTGTGTGTGTGTGTGTGTGTGTGTGTGTGTGTGTGTGTGTGTGTGTGTGTGTGTGTATGTATGTATATGCATAATTATATGATTGCATATAAATAGAAAGACAGATGTAGATATACAACCCATATAGATATAGATGTTGGTAGGAATGTACTGGCAATATTACACATACTTTATGTAGTGTTTGTATTTTCAAAAATATGTTAAAGAAACAAATGTCATTTAATAATTTCAAAATTATAGTAATGCTAATTAAAACAATTGAAATAATCAACATTTAAATTAATGTTCCTATAAAATGTCCACTTCCAATACCAGCCAGCCACATAAACTCTCTCAATCCGTTCCAGAGATGGCATGCCTTACTGCGAGAAGGACTACCAAGCCCAGTTTGGTGTCAAGTGCGCCTACTGCAACAGGTTCATCAGCGGCAAGGTGCTTCAGGCAGGAGACAATCACCACTTCCATCCCACTTGTGCAAGGTGCACCAAGTGTGGGGACCCCTTTGGAGATGGGGAGGAAATGTACCTTCAGGGTGAGTTTCAAAAGGAATAGGTTTGAAGAAGTAAGGAAAGGAGAACCAGAATTATCAAAAGAAAAGGGGCTGGATTGGATGGAGACGAGGAAAAGATAGAAGTATTGGAAGGGAAACAAATGGAGATGGGTAGAGGAAGAGGGAAGGAAGGGAGGACTGAAAAAGATTAATGGGAAGGTATTGAGAAATGGAAGTGATAGAGAAAGTGAATGTGAATTGAGCAGGTAGTCATAATGATTTAATGTGATTGAAGTTAATTAGCAGAATAGGAACTTACAAGAAAAAGAGACCCATATCAGAGTTACCATTTCTCACCATCTCTTTCATTCATCTATGAAGGTACTGCTATCTGGCACCCACGCTGTGGCCAGGACCACTGAAAACGGCACAGTAGTACTCAACGGCTCCTTGTCCAACGGCCACCATGTCAATGGGGAACAGAAGGCTGAGAGGGAACGCGATTTTGATGGCATGAGCTCCCACAGCTTCAGAACACAGGTAGGGAATCAGGGAGTTAAACTTGTTATCTCGTTGTTAACTTGCTCTATCATCGGTTGCCTGCTTTGTTGTCCACCCATAGCTTTGGAAACTTAATTTTTATCATTTGCAGGTTGCTTTTATTTCTGTTTTTTGATTTTTGATTTTATTTTTTTTCCCTATGGCTTGTTGCAGTTATATTTGCTTTATGTATTTTTATATGATTGTCAGTAAAGTGCATTATTTATTGTTTCATCTTTATATATCATTTATTCTACTCCTAAGTAATAGAAATCCTGCAGGTGGTTCTGGAAATAGTATGCAGTGATATGAAAAAGAATGATATATATTTAGTGTTTCTGTATTTCAAAGTGTAAGGATTGGCACAAGACATCAAGATTAATTCTGAAATATTGAAAATGAATAAATGATCAAATGTTTTGTTGCGGGTATGGAGAGTTTAGTTTTCAAGGTTATGTTCAGACATGTCTCCTTTGCTTCATTTTATTTTAGGGTTTACGTATCTGCCCTTTACGTGTATTATTGTAAGTGTGCTTCATTTAGAATGCATTTTGAGCTGCCTAGATGTGTTTAAATTCACCTCCGTGCTTTGCTGAATTCCCTGGCTCTTGCTTCAGGGAACGAGGTTGCTTTGATTTCGTGCAGAATCAGTTTTAGTGTATGTTTTATTGGCGTTTATTTTCTGAATGTTGCAAATTTATTGACATTCTCATTGATTCGAGAAAAGTACTTTGTGGATAGTGACTTGTTTCATATTATACAGTTTATATATATTTATGCAGTTATATTTCTTTCCCACCTTTTTACCCCCCTCCTCAATGTAAATTCTTTTTTTCTTATGATGTTTGGAAATATAAATGTCATAATTATTATCAGTAGAGTAATTCCATTTCATTTTTTAAGTAAACAACTGAGAGCGATTCAGTTCACAGAGAATCTACAGCCCCTATGACTGACTAAAAGTTTTCTGTAGTCCCTAGTTTATTCTCGCACCATAGTCCAGTATTAAGCAGTAAGTTAACTCGCCCTTTATGTATCGGCAGTTTATCGAAACAGTCGAGTCTTCAGGCAGATGGCGACGGGTATGACATGTAGGAGTGTGCTCAGTGCCTGCCTGAAGTTTTCAAGTTATGTGGTTCTTAGAGCTATCCAGAGACTAACTTTTTGACTTGATAGAGAATCTAGCTGACTAATGCGAGTTGCCCTTCGTGATGTGCACCGAGCAGGGGGACTCCGACTTCCTTGATGTCTGTTAACTTGGTCTCTTTATCTTTGTTTCTTCATCTTTTCATCTTTTCACATTCCCTGATGGCTATATTTATTTCCTCTGCTCATTTCTAAATTTTTCCTTTTGATTTTTCCATGATACCTATTTTCATGATTCTTTTTATATTTTCTTTTTCATGAGTTCCTGATTGCCATATTTGCAATCTTTTTATCATCATTACTGCATTTTTTCATCTTTTAATTTTTCTTTATTTTCATATTTTGTGTTCTTTTTATCTTCATATGTTTTTTTCTTTTAATATGATTGACATGAAGTAGTTTGGAGTGTTATATTTATAATCTGACTATGCTTGTTTTGTGATTGTGTGTTTATTTATTTATTTTTTAATTTATTTTGCCTTATTGAAGGTCGTTCATAAGAAACTTTGAATTCTTTTGATTATTATTATTATGAGTTGACTTTTTATTATTTATGCAGAGCCTTGACATATATGTGATACTAAAAGAAGAATGACAAAGAGGCTTATAATGATCTATTGTAATATCAAGCAGTAGACTAATCCGTATGAAAAATTATGTCAAGGAGCCAAGTATCCATCAGAAAATTATAAACTACAATTGAAATAAACATGACATCAAGGGAAGTCTAAAGGCGCATAAGAGTGAAATCCTCGAAGTTTTTTGTTGTTGAATTAGATGCCTGATCCTCCAATTTTTGTTTGTTTTTGTTTTAGTATCTATTTACCTTTTTTTTGGCAGTAGTTTCTAGTCTTGGTGGATTGAGTTTTATTTAGATAACAGTTTTAAAAAGCATGTCTACCACCCCAGGCAGACCCCCCCTCCCCCCTCTTCTCGTAAGCTTGCATGCATAGACTTACTTTAGTTTTGTTGACTATTCATTTTCAGTTTTCTCGATCGCGCACACCAAGCCTTAATGGATCGTTCCGCTCCTATAGCCCCTATAACAGCCTGAACAGGAAGGTGAGGTGCCATTGGGTGGTTGATGTTGGCCATTCATTTGGTCACTTAATTTTGTTGTTTGGCAAAAAAGAAAGTTTGTTGCCATGACAGATAAGTATATATTATATTTCTTTACTTCTGCTTCTCAACTTCATTAATTTATTGTCATTGATAAATTAGATTACTGTATCTGAATTTAGAGTGAACAATTTATTAAAAGTGATAAAGATCAAATTAGTATTATCTTTGGTGATAGGATTTTCAAGTGTTAAGGTTCTGGAAAGAAATAAATGAAAGTGTAACTGATATATTTCATAATATATCTTCACAAGAATCAAATATATTACCATTAGACATATACACTGAGATGCATCAATTACATCTTTGGTTTGTGAAGTTGTTAATTTGCATATACAAAATCTATCAGAATTTATTCTGTTCATTATCGTCCTGACCATAGTCTCTTTAATGACATTATTTTGGTACTTTTAAGAACTTTTAATCTAATTTAGAAATCTTTTAAACAACTGTGCCATAACTGTTGCTATTTTGATGCATTTTGTTATATATATTATTATAGTCAGATTTTATGGAGATGTGATTATAATCAGATTTTCTTGTATTTTTCAACATGCATAGCCAACAGTATTACTAGATTGATTTGTGCCACATATTCCTCATCTGGTTATGATGTCTTGAGGCTTCCATTTTTGAGAGGGCATCATGCTCTAAATACTGCAACCTTAAGAACTAACTGAAAACCATGCCCCAAAGCTCACACTCTTCCATCCGTCGCAGTTCTCGGGTCCGTATCGCCACATGCTCACCTGGGCTGATCCTGCGCGAGTACAAATCCTCACAAAGCCCCATCGACATCACCCGCACTACACGTACTCCTACCTTACTGCCGAGCCTTCCCAGGGGTACCTCAAGCGACCCTGGACCCGTACGACCGTCCTCCACCAAAGTCTCCGCACTGGCACCGTCCCATGGGTGAGGCACATGATATCTTGCTAGATAGAGGGGAGTCAGGATTTAGGGTTTAGGTCAGAATAAGTCATGAAAATAATGAAAAAGGAATGAGACATAAGTAAGAGGCAGCTGCTTGAGGGAGAAAATCACACACAAACTCTATACAACTGTATTGGTGAAACTGCAGAAAAAAAGTTAAATAAGATTAGTTTATAGAATTATCAGACATTAGTTTTCAGATTAGTCAATAAATCTTGTGTTTCTGTCACCCTAATTTGTGTACTTTTTTCTGCCAATTTGAAATGACGTTTAGGAAAATTTGCTAACCTAAAAAAAGTTGAGCATACATAGTTCAATTTTTTTTTTCAAAGGCTATATCTTTTAAATGTGTAAGTGTGTATGCAGAGAATATGCATGTGTGTAGCATTTTTTTCTGCTGTATATTCATATAGGAATTTATTTTTAATGTCTTTACTGTGTGTGTTCTAACATCCCTGTCTCTTTTTTATCCCAACAGTGGATAGTAGGAAGCTGTCACTGCCCAAAACATCTAGTAAACTCGGCATGCGTGTGATGGTAGATAGCATAAAGTCTGAAACACCTAGACCGAAGTCTCCTCACATGAACAATGAAGAGCCCATAACACTCTCACACTACCGGAGCACGCAAGCCAACTAGTGGAGATGTGTCACGCATTGAGAGAGACGACTTCCAGCGCCCCCATACCCTACACTGATCCAGGTAATTGCTAGAACTGTCTATGAGAAATTTAACTAACTTATTAGCAATATTAGGCATTCGTTTAGGCTACATTAGTTATGTTTAGGTGAATATCAACCTTGTATGTACTCTAGTAAGAATCTTTGTTATGATTTTTGTAGTGATAAATAAAGCAGTAGGTTCTGCAAAAGTCAAAAATGTTTTTAGCAATGGAAAAATAGATTTTTACCTGTCAGGTTCAGTCTGAGTAACATTTGCTGTATTTACTGTTTTCTGGCCAAATTCAAATAATGATGTCCATAAGAGGTAGAAAAATATGTACCGCATTAGTTTGGTGCCTTGCCACTCACATATGTAAGTATTGTGCTAGAGCTGTAGAATAGAAGCTTTGTCCATCTGCAAGCTACAAACATGTGCTGGGAACGAGGTGCCATTTTGAGAAAATCCTTGGTTAGTTTTATTTATTTACCATTTTCATTTATGGGTTTGGATATTTTCTTTGGGTTAAGCTCCAGCTGCATGTTTGTCTTCAAGTGCATACTGCAGCTTCTAGATTTCAGTGTAATAGTACATGGCTTGATCCTTATTTTTTGTTATCTTTACTTAATTAAAAGTTCCAACCACATATAAAGATGCTTGTATAAAAGCAGATAGATAATAAAAGTCCCTTCATGCAAATGTTTAAGTACACATGTTTGTGCAGGCAATCTCCAAGCACATAGTCACATATGATGACTCTAGAAGAGTCCTGTCAGTTATTTTGATTATATTAAAGGTCATGTGGTTGAATAGTAAGATGAAACCTTTTTATGGTTTACATTCACTTTTTGAAAAACCAAGCATCTAGAATTCTACACTAATATCTGCCATGCTGTTCTGTTGAGTTAGTTGGAATTGGCGTTCAGTGCAGCATGTAATTCTTCTCTTTCCCTTATTTACTGGTAATTTTCAGAATATATTTAGAAAAAATATAAGAATCACTTTTCCATCTTTTCTTTTTTTAGGAATAATTAGTGAACCAATAGTTAAAGAAATGGGAGAAAAAAAACTTGTTACAGGCATGCTGCACTGTAAAGTAGCTTAACAGTGGAGTTATTACTTAGAAAACTAAAACTAAAACATCCTGTATAAATTTGTGGTTGGAATGTTTGCCTTTCACCTTGTTATGAATAACACCAGAAGACATCAGCTCCAAAAACTGTACCTTTAAAAACTCTCATTGATTTGTAGGTGGTTGTATGATCTTTTTGTGTGTGGTTTATTGCTTGCAACACAATCTGCCATTATAATTGATTGCTAATAAGGTAGAGTGTATGATATAGTGTGTTCCAGAGCAAGTTGTACCCAGTCAACTTTTTTTTTTTCACAAGAATCTTAATTTTATTGAAGAGAATTGATTAGTAAGAATTAATGGTTTTTTCTATGTTATAAGGAAAATTGCATCAAATATGATTTGCAATTGATGATGGCAGACATGTTTCTATGTGGTTTAGCTTTATTATTCTTTTGTGCAATGACACACAGATGATTTGCAGGTCTGTTTAAAAAAAAAGAGAAAAAATGTTTCCTTAAATGGGCAAAAGAGCACTTAGAAAAGCACATAAAAACTGTGAGTTAATTGGTAAAAGAAAATTGAACTATTAGCCACATGAAAGAAAACAGTACCTCAAAGAACCTTCTTGTGTGTACAGCACAGCTATTCCATTTTCCCCCTTTTTTTTGGTTTTATTCCCTTGTATTTTGTGTTTGCCTTGGTATCCTCTGGTATCTCCCTCGAGCCTCACTCCAGACGCCTGGTAGAGAGCCCCACCCTTGTCTTGTGTTCACTTTGCAAACTAACCCTGGCGACGGGTGTGGCCCTGGCCTCACTTGCAGATGTTTCAGAGCGGCGGCGAAGGTGGTCGGGCAGCACCAAGGCGGTTAGCATTGACGAGACAGATGAGGGGACGGAAATCGAAGATTCCGAAGCCATGGTGGAGGATCCAAAGCTGAAGGTAAGGGAGGAAGGGAGGGAGTGGGAGTGAATTTGAACGTACTTGACCCTCAGGATTTCAGAATGTTGGAATGGATTGTATTTGGGAAGCATTTTTGAAGATCTTTGATTATTTACATTTGTAACTATTATATGATTATTTACATTTGTACCTAATATATAATTGTTTACATTTGTAACTGTTATATTGTATTTTATATATACAGCAAAAAATAGAATTGAGATGAATTATTTATTCTGGTTTACTATGATATATGACTTAATACTATTACTTGTTATTACCAGCGTGAGGAGGAAGAACTAAGCAAGATTGCAACAGGTATTGGGAAGGTGTTCCTACAGCAGGTGAAAGAGAGAGAAAGGATTAGGGCATGGAAAGCAACTCACTTAGATCCTCGTAACGCATCACGCTCTCCTGCTGCCAATCGCGAACCTCAGAACAAACTGCGCTTTGAATCTTCTCTAAATGCTTGTAAGTTTTTTGAGTGGGTAGGATGTAGTACTATCTCCTGATGATATTCATATTTATTGCCTGCAGTGCAACTTGTTGCATTACAGGCTTCATGCTAAGTTGGATGATACATATAAAGTTGCCATAGATGCTATAGGTTTACAGTATTACTCAAGGTTTGCTCTGTTGTATTTCTTTCATTTGCCTCAGTCAAACTTCTTTTATCCATGTAAAGAAATCCCTCTCTCACAATCCACCATTCTCTCCAGCTCCATCTCGAATGACTGACCACAACCGGTCTTGGGGACCAGAGGAGGAGGAGTTTGACCGGGCTTCATCCTACAGATGCTCCACTGGAAGGTCATCAGCCACGATACCATCCTACAACGGTATGCACTCAATTCTTAGGCCATGTTGGTATATGTAGATGAAGGCACATACTTTTTAGACCCATTTGCAGGGGCATAGAATTTTATTTAAGTAGGGGTATTTTACAGAAGTATGGTGCTATGAGTTAGCTTTCAAAGTATATATTTATCTCTTTGTTTCATGATTATCATTATTCCTGTCAATATTTATGTAAGATCTTTATAGAGCCAGCTTATTTTTAGCTGAGATGTTCATAGGCCTGAAACATTTACTTATATTTATATAGGATTTGTCTGTAAAAATTGCTTCTTTTTTGGTAATTATATAGCATATATTTGTCTGTGTTAGTTTGTAGTTTTAAGTGATGATATTATGGATAAGTTTTAGATATAGCAATAGTATTAAGTTTGTTGTA